TATATATATATATATATTTTACAAAATTAGAGAAATTAAAGTCTGGAAGAAAAAATATGATTAAAATTGTAGTTCAAACAGCAATGCTCATTTATATGTTCATTTATATTTGAGGACACTACCTCATGTTTTGTGAGTATTCATATCAATTTACTCAATAAAAATGGAAACATTGAAGTAATTGTCTTTTAGTTATGAAAGAAACAAGATCGGCAAAAAAAAAATCGAGATCGGCAGGTAAGGTTGTCTAAGGATCGGTGATCGTTGATCAGCCAGAAAACTGCAATCGGTGCACCCCTAATTCAAACCCGAGTTCTGAACAGATTAAGTTCGAGTTCTGAGGTACCACTGTACCTCTAATAATATAATCCTGGTCTAGAAATCCCAAAACAAAATGTTACATTTAGAAACTTGGACACAGACTTACCTGCGACTAAAACCATGATTATCAGAAATGCAGATACGGCCCATAGTGTTTTCTTCAGTGTATGTATTCTTAAGCGAAACCGAAACCAATAGAATAAAACTGAAATGAGGTAAGAACAGGGTCAGTCAGCATAATGTTCATGTCAGGAACATCACAGGTAACAAGGGTCAAACATCCTATAATGTATTAAACATCCTATAATGTACACGTTAAAGATTTAATACGCATGAAATCAGTTTACGAGGTTATTTTCAGTCTCTATAATATAAAAAAGTAATGCTTCTATAGCTAATTATGGTTCCATATTCCTGAAATCCTAATTACAAAAATGTACTAGATTATTTTAGACTTGTGAATGTACTTACGTTGCATAGAAGCCATAAAGACCATCATAAGTACAAATCCACCTACAAAGACTCCCAGTGTTACTTTCCCAGCCGTGGTTGTGGAATATTTTGTCGAAAACTCAACAATAGGAACTGAAATGAGGTAAGAGCAGAGTCAGTCACCATCAGATTCATGTCAGACACACCAAACTTAAATAGATGGGCTCAGTGCTCCTGTTTAAAATGGGTTATGAAAAGGCAGCAAGGCTGCTAGAGGGACACTATCCTAATGCAGACCCCAAATCATACTTCCACACAGCTACAGAGCGACCATAAGCAGGAAC